CAAGCCAACAATACAAGCTTTGCTTAAAAAGAAAAAAAGAGCTCCAAGGAAGACACAAAAAAGTAGACACACGAATTGCCCAGAACATTTTTTTTATATAAGTATAGAAAATTGAGCGAGTTGGTTTGTCATACTTGAACTGATGTAGCGCATTACGGAAAAAAAAAAGACGGCCGAGCAGACCAGCACAAAAGGACAGAGCATTCGATTCTATCAGTCTGTTTGGCCGTTTCTTCTTTTCTGTAATGGGCTATACCAGTTCAAATACATTTTTTTTCACAGCAGGACTTCCATCAAAACAGTAATACCATAGCCAAGGGCATCAGTATCTAATTCACTCAGCCAAGCTACTATTTTGCTGCTCAAGAAAGGAAATATAAACATAACAGAGGTTCGCTAGCACACAGTCAAACCTTCATAAAACATATTATCAGCTATGGCGAAGCAAATGAATTATTTGTCTTGCCAATCGCACAGTGATAGAAACGCACGTCAAAAACAAATTTTCTAATATAACGAAGCTACTATTCGTGACACACATGACTTCGTTGCCACGAGGGTTTAGTGCAGTTGGACAAGCAAGGGGATGAAGCGGGATGTGTTATGAGAAAGCATTTAGAAAGCCAGTTTACACAAACCAGACACAAAATCAAGACTGCCTTCATCATATCCAAAATAACACGCCGAAGAAACAAACAAAAAAAAAGCCTGAATTGAGCAAGGAAGCACGAACTGGGGCTAATGAGCGCTACTGAATAACTCACGGAATAATTGACGTACAACAACGCTTGAGCTGTTAGCACTGTCTTTATGCTCTCTCGTCCATGTATAGAACTGTTTTCAACTTATAGGTGCCTAGCTTTCAATCTGCCTATAGCACTCAAATATATGCACACACTCACACACACAAGTATTGAGATGTAAGGTTTAACGTTCCAAAACCACAATATGATTATGAGAGACGCCGTAGTAAAGGGCTCCGGACATTTTTACCACCTGGGGATCTTTAACGTGCACCCAAATCTGAGCATAAGGGCCAACAGCATTTTCCCCTCCATGGAAAATGCCACACACAAGTAAGCACTAGGCTTGTGCGAATAGCAAATTTTAGGTTTGAAGCGAATAGTGATTTGGTTGCATAATTTTTAAATCAAATTCGACAGATATATAAAAAAAATGAGCATATTTCTCAAGACCTGCCCAATGCTTCTTTTTTTTTTGATTGAGACAAAGAATATGAAAATGTCTTGTTTCAATTTCAATTGAAGCAACTTTGAATAAATAATAGAAGGTTCGGTAGAATATTAGTGATAACTTGTAAAATATGTTACATTTTATAATTTACTATATGCAGAGCACATGACCTGGTAGAAGCTGCTAAACTTGAAAAATAATGAATCAATGTAACGCTAATATGGATGATACCACGAGGAATCGAACATGTGTGTCTGGACGATATTTTTGTTTCATCTGTTTTTTATATGTTATGTGGCTATATTCGAGGTGCACGGAACCGAAAATTTTATTTCAGTTCCCACTTACTAAACTTAAGTGGGGCTTCGCAGCAGTGCGAATGTTTTCTCGAATGATGTGTTCACGGCATAACACTCTTCCACTGCAGTGAAACCGCCTTTAAGAGGTGATTACATGCGGATAAGTGTTGTTTTTTTTTACGCGTGAATTATGATGCACTGTCGACGAATGTGTGAAATTCGCACAACGCAATTCCATGGCACTTCACATCAGATTCCAAAAAAAAAAAAATAAAGCAATGTTTTTTTTATTTTTTTTCGACAAAAAGAATGCAATCATAGGCTCCTGAGATATGCGCAGTTACTTTTTTGCTGCAGTAATTCTGAGAAAAAAGAACAGTAATACTTTTGACATTGGTTGTGGAATGCAGCACATCAAACGACCCATCGAACATCGTAAAACTACCTTCACCAAAGTGACCTGAAACAGTCATACACAGCAAACTGAGCATAGGTCAAGCCATACTGACTATGCAGAAGGTTCAATTCATCTAATGTACAACGCATTTTGTCCTCTTTTGGCCGCAAGTCGGCACAGCTAGTGTAAACAAATTACATACAAAACGTAACGATCGCCACTGAAGGGGATGTGCACCTATGCATTGATTGCGAATACTCCGAAGCTTCCAATAATGTAAATTTGAATCGACACAAATTCTAATACTATAATATTTATTCGAATATTTAAAGCTCTCGAATGTTCACAAAAACCTAGTAAACACCCTGAGAGAAAATGCCCCACCTACTTTTTGGCACGAGCGCTTGGGTGAAAAAGTGACAGGAGGCACCTGTCTTCAGTGTATACGTGTGTGTGTGTGTGTGTGTATACGATCGAGTGTGCTTTTTCGCTCTCTGAAAGGAGCTTACAAGACAAATCCCCAAACACTCCCAGCTACGAGTGCGTCTTTGCCATTATGTCATTGGACATGACCGTTCAGGCTACAACCCAAAATTGAGCAAATTCAGAGGCACACAAACTTCAAACCAATATTAAAAGGCAACAAACTATATATTAAAAGCAGTTCACTATGCTAAATTGCAGTGACTGAAGTAAAGATTTCTTGAGCATGGGCACTGTAAGCAGATTTCAATTGAAAGGCGGAGCATCTTCGTAATTAGAATAATTGCGGCATATGTCACATCTCAATCACTTCTTGAAGAAGTCCTTCAACATTCTAGACAGGAATCAACCTCGTATGCTACGAATTTAACTGTTCTCTTTCTCTACTGTCACTGAAAAGAGAACATTACCACTGCCAATCGGTTCGTAAGCTACATCAAACCAGGCAGGACTCTGCGGCGTTTAGCTAAAACTGCACCGCTACTTGATCTTAACAGTGAAGGGATTCTGAACCATCCGTGGGCCTGAGTGAAAACAATGCATTTCGCAAAGAGTGAACACCGCAAGGAACAGCTTGGCCGAATTCGGCAGTCGTGCGTCAAATGTACAGTCTGTGACGAACCTGAGCGTGACGCGGCATCCGTTCCCTGTATCCTGAAGTTCGTAGTAAATGAAACAGCTTTTAAAAAAAGTTGCGAGTGAAAACAGAAACTTTTCTTGCCCCCAAAAGTCCCTGATGCACGTGTTTCAAAGAGCAGAAGCGATAAGGGCGTTCTCGAGTTCATTCAAAACGGCAGGGTGCTCGTTCGCCGAGGCCCGTTGCATAAGCTCCATGAGGCACTGGCTCCAAAGTTTCGTCGTTCTCGCAATACGATTCCCCCAAATCGCTCTCACCACGTACTTCATTTGCCCCAATCCGTGCACGGTTTCCCGGTGTCGGCATCATCATCGGCCGTAATTAAACCATCGCAACAGAAGTCCCACCCGCTCTCCCAGATCGGAGTCGATGGCACGCTGCCAAAAATCACCGCCACAGTGGTCCTGTTCGGAAGCTTTAGTCTCGGCATCGGGCCCGACGTCGACAACCTGTTCTCTCAGGTCTGAACAATCGGCTGAGAGAACACGCTAACAATGTTAGAAACGGGAAAAGATGGTTTTCTTGCTCAGCACTGCACTGAGTGCAATTGTGCGCCCCTTTTCAAGACACAGCGACGCTGTACAAGCACAGAGATGAGCGCACCCGAGTCATTGTCGAGGCCGCGCAGATGGCACGCGAACAGGTGCCTTGTATAGCAAGCCCTCCGTGGCTCTGTCTGAGAAGGAACTCAGGTTCCTCGAAGGTTTCGGTGCGCGCAAGTAGTTATATAATCTTTACTTTTCTGTTTCGTTTTCTTATAAATTTTTCTTTGCCGTTTTTCTGTGCTTTTGTTTTCTGTCTTTGTTTTTCTCTTACTCATGGTCTGCTCTTTGTGCCATATGAATTTTACCACATGGTTACTGTCTCCTCTATATATTTTCGTGCTCTGCGCAATAAACTAAGTTGGAAGTTAGCGCTCGTGTCTTTCGTGTCCTTCTCGTCTCTGTGTCGTCGTTTTGATCTTGCGCTATAACTATCGTTAATTCGAGCCAGCGTGGCTGGCGTCATTGGAGACAGGCGAAGGGGTTGTGATCAAGAGAGGAGAGCAGATTTGCAAGAGAAGGGCAAGGAGTTGCGATAGAGTGAAGGAGGGGAGGATGCAGCGGAAGGGCGACATTGAAAACCAAAACACACGGGCAGGAGGCAGGTTGGGTAGCTTGCTTGAAAGGTCCGCGATACTCGCACGTAGAAAAACTTGAGAGTGCCTGCGCGCACAGAAGTCAAAGCACGACCGCCTAGATCAGTGCGCGCGGCGGTGTTCGAAGAATCGGCGGCCGTGGTCGAAAAATCGTTTTGTTGCGCCAGCAGGTTTGCGTGGCCTCACAAACTTTGATATTTTGCGATTCGTTCCGCGCAAATTAACAGCCGTTTTCGCACTTCCGCATGCACGCGGAAGGCATGCTGAGTTGAGTGCGATGTGAGCGAGAACAAGTCCTAAACACAAAACGAATCACAAATTAACAGTGGGTGGGGTAGCGTACGCGTGTGCACTAGACGCAGACTACCGGATACAGTCGGTGGCCGACGATGTTGGCAAATGGTTCGGTCACTCCAGGACTGCAACGCCAACGACAGTACCGGGGATTAAAAACAGGGTAGATGGCCGATCGATCTTCGAAAGATCGGTGGCAGTGTGAAAGCACGGGCCTCGTCTGGCGATGCGGGGTGCTCAGAGTAGCGGGAAGACAAAGGAGGGGAGGGGTGCGTAACAAAAAGCAATCGGGGCATGGAAGAAGGAAACAGCTTTCCTTCCTTCGTGGGTTCTGAAGAGCTGCAACAAGAGGGTCGCAAAGGCAGGGTCGGCGTTTAACAATAAGAATGTATAGGCACCTTGCCGATGCCTGATCAACTGTCAAAAGTGGTTTCCCGGGAAGTCGGCAGACTGCTGACTAATCCGCTGTAACCGGTCAGCGGCGCTCGGAGATGTTCGTTGTAAGTGCGATTTTGTGCCATTGAACCAATGTATAATTTCCCGGTCACATGGATATTGTTCGTTTTAAGTGAAAGTTCGTTTTAAGTAGGGCCGTTATATGTGGGCTCGACTGTACAGTTTACCAGCGAAGTGCAAACTTGTCACTCTTGTCAAGTGGCCTCTCTTGACGCAGAGACCCGTTCTCACTCTCATTAAAGGTGCCAGTATCGGTTCTATTCTACCATTTGGTAGAGTAGGGCTAATGGTTGATAACTAAAACAAAAAAGCGGCATTGGAATCAGATGTGCTTCTTGCTATGGTGCTACGCTCTAAATGTGCTAAAGTTAGACATTAGAAACACTAGCACATACCGTAAGCATACTGGGAGTGATTGACGCACTTCATGGTGTGCATTCAAGTTCGTGGTATGTAATGACATAGCTCCTTGCCATCCACCCACGTGTAGCCTTCAGAGCGTTCGCCAGGAGGAGATAATATAAAATTTTAAATGTGCGCAATAAATTTGTAACTCTGCTTGTACTGGCCACACTGAAAAATATTTTTACAGCAGTAGATTCCTGAGGCCATAAACTTCGATACTGAGGTCATTTGATGACTACTTGAAAAAGTGTTTGATGACCCCTTTAACACATGCTTTTAGGGCTTTTTACTCCGATTCATAAGCACAAAATCTCTCATTCAGTGCAATACTTTGTGTTGCACAAAGATTGCGAAGTGGGCATATGCGATATAAAATTAAATTGACCTCTAAATTTGATTGGTTCTACCCACTAATTTTGTCAGTTCAGACATTAATTCTCCATTTTCTAGGAGTTTTCCTCCAGTAACATCACTATGATAAAAAAAAGAAGTCGACTAAGCCTGTAGATCTGACGAGTAAACATGTGGTACGAAACATAATAAATCTACTACTCCCCACGCAACTTCTCGTCCGACCTAGATCGTCACGTACGCACAAATTGGAAATACCTACTTCTCGACACTTCGTCAGATTCATTTGAGCGAACCTACGGCTGCCACGCACACAAAAGTTCTCACGGATACACTTCCGACTTTCCAAAAGGCCTACTGCTGAAAGTCCCCGACCTACAGCCAAGGGTCGGGGTCAGTGGAGGCAGACCGTCTCTGGGATCTCATCCAATGCGTAGTATTGGTGCTCGATGTTGTCTTCGCGGACTTTCACGACACGAAGCCCGTGGGTGTCGCAGCCAAGCTGCGCTCCGATGGCAGAAGTCACAACCAACTCCATGTCCTTGTAGAAGCCGCCGGCATTGCGGTGGTAGTGGCCGCAGAAGATGGCCCGCACACCTTCACATAGCGGGCGGGAAAAGAAGTTTCTCATTGAGGAACAAAAGTGGTCATGCGAATTACTGAAAAGAGCCGAGCAAGCGCCCTGCTCCATATTTCAAGAGATCTGAAATAAGTGCTAAATAAATACCAATTACCATTTTGGAGCCGAGCGAGAACCCCCTTCGAAATCTGGTTGGATTATTCTTCACTGTAGGTTGACATGTTACTGTAAGCTCACCTCTAAAGCTATTTCATGGGAACCTCACGCACACCCCGCGGAGTCAGTGAATTTAGCCTAAAAATTTGCACGCAGGCTACTTCATAGGATTTTGACTTGGAAGTGACAAGAGAACTTCAGCTCCTCTTCTAACTACAGAAATGTGAGAGTGATCAGCACCAACGGTTACGGTGATTGGAAAAGGTGCTCTCGCAAACAGATCGCCATGCCTAATGTAATGACCCAGACAGCGTATACGCCTGCCTGGGCAATAAAAAAAAAGCTTTGCTTGTATGAATGATATTGCAGATGAAGCCTATTATGCAAACACAGTGTGCATGTTGGAATTAATTAGAATAAATGTTTATGATTCAGTTGACTACCATAATCATTAAAAAATAATAGAAGGCATGCTGGAGGCACCTGAAAAACTAAGACTGAAACTGCTTAAAGATGGGGTGCTTGATGTTCTCACACACGCGCTGAAGTTTTGCCCAACAAAGCTTTGGCTATGCTGTCATAGAAAGTAGTTATACAGTGTGCACCAGTCATCATAATAGGCATCATAATAGACATAGGGATGTACAACAGGCGTGCTATTTGCATCAGTGTTCCAAATCCTGTCTATTATAATCAAAAAACACCAACCAGCCAACAAGAAGTCCTCTTGCTGCAAGTACTAGTACAACAAAAGCTCGCTAATTTTACACTCATAATTTCAAAACATGAAATAATTTGGATGCATTATTTAGACCCGGCCAGCATATGGATTGTTTGATGGAAACAAACTCTTGTTAATTCGGACACAACTGGCAGCAATTCGATCAATTTGGCCATTTCTTGGAGCACGTTGAGTGTGAAGCACTGCAAATGTCTGACGCGAAGGTTGCGGACAGCCAAAACAGCTGTGGGGTTTAAGAAAGCCACCAAAAACGGCATTATTGGTAAGCAGTAAGGGAGAACTCAGAGAAGATTTAAGATTAAGACATGGGGGAGGTCTTCAGCTACGTTCACATTGTGAACAAAGTTGTAAATGACAAAAACTGCAGCTTTTGCATGGTTCTTGTACAAATTAATGGCTGTATTTACAGATTTCTCGAGAAAATGAAAGATCATTGATGAAATAGGCATTTACTCGCATGATAACTTGATACTTTGGATACCTCGTCACTCGATTAATTAGGACAGCTTTTATGGTACCTTGAAATCTGAATTAACGAGCTTTCACTGTACTTCTCTTAAGCGGTGACCCCTCAATCCGCCCTTTTCACACACACGCAATGAAAGAGCCATACCGGCCTTGTGGAACTTGTCGAGCATCCGTAATCTCAGTTCGGGGTTGAAGTTGAAATACATCTTGTCCTCGTCAAAGTTGCGCACGAACCAGGGGATGTGCTGGAAGACCACCACGTGCTTGGCACCCGTCCGCTGCGCTTCCGCCAGCTGCTCGTCCAGCCACACTTCCTGTTCGTGCGCCAAATCTGGCACCTGCACCATACAATGTTCACTGGCAATGGAATACAGTAGAATCTCCATGACGCGAATTCGAAGGGAGCACACAAAATATTTGTATCATCCCTAATTCGTAAAAATAAAAAAACAAGTTATGGGGACACTAAAGAGGAACGATGACTTGGTATAGATTGACAAACTGCACTCTGAGAACTCTAATGCCATATGTTTTACTATAATAAATGGATTATCAGCAGAGAGAATCAAGGTTGAAGTTTCATTTTTAAATTTTGCACCCTGCGCGTGAGGTAAGAAATTTTGAATCTCTGCACATGAGGTAAAAAACTTGAAAATGTATTTTCGGTAATTTTGCGGCATTGGCTCAACGAAATTTTCTGAAACTTCACATGCTAAGTCAATGGCACCCACAGATTATAAAGTACTTCATTTTGATCGATCAGAAGCTACGTAGGACCTAGTAGACAGCTTCAAAATTTCTTACCTCACGGTGTTTGGTGCGGGAACCTCAAGGTGGCATCGTCACTCACATTTTTTTTCGTGAGTTTTCTCACTTACTAGGCATCATGTCTTAGTAAGAGTGGTGTTTTTGCGAATGTGAAATTGTACTTTACAAATGAGCAAAAAATTGTTTTGCTCTTTAGTGTCCCTGTAAAGCTGATCATGAAATTAACAAGAACTTCATAGGAGTCTACTACTTCTTGCAGAAAAAAGTCCACGGTGTTCTTTTGAACTTTCCTGCCTTCCCCGTCTCTCAATAAAGTGCCGCTTTGCTCACTCATGCTGCTGGCGCTTAAAGGCGCGCTTACAGTTGGCATCAAAGAGAGCAAAAGTGACAAAACTAGTAGAAATTCGCTCGCTTCACCGTTTAAGGAGGCAGACTGGTCTTAGACATTTTTTGTTCATTTCTTCAGTGATCTTGATCTAACTGCACAGGGTTATGCAGTTTTTTTTTTGGCTGATTTCAAATATTTAATTAGTTTTCCTGTAACTGCACCTTGTGCCTGAGATAACTTAAGTTCAACCCGTATTGTTTAAGGAAGCCATAAAAAAGGGCTTAATTAAACATGATATTTAGGATATGCCAACATAGACTAATGACTATAGAGTAAAAGTATGTAAAGTTTATGTTTTTAGGCCTTCATTGGTTATTTTACAGCGAAATGAACTATCCATTTTCAAAAGCAGTTGGAATTATTTTACAATTCGGATTAGTAATTAATTAAAAGGGGATGTGCACTAAATTCTGCTCCCACACTTGCATTCTACACACATACAGGTTTCCACTGCAAAGAAAATTATTGTTGTACCTGCCCTAGCTGCAGAGATGTTGAGGCCTCAAAATTGAATAGTTGCAAATCTACTTTTTTGAGAAAAATGGAAAAAAACTGAAAACACAGTTTCTTCAAAAAAAAGCAACAATCATGGTGTGCATGTTTTGCAATCCTCATAAAGGCGCTTATAAATTGGTATTAGAGCTTTAGACACAGGTGCTGGCAAATTATAAACAAGCCTTAAAGTCGGTTCCCCATTTATTCGCAGGATCTGCATGTTAACAGCACCAAGAATCTGGACAGTTAGAATGACATTACAAAAAAATTACTACTTCCTGGTGCATAAAAATTTGCAGAGAGATAGAAAAATAGTTGCAGAAACCAAATATGTCAATTTTAAAAAATTAATGTTTTGTCAATTTTTGGTACTAAAGACTAGTCTGCCCCCTTAAGCGGCCGAAAAACCGTGCCGCAAAGTCGACACGAAAAAGATCAGTCCTCCCACAGACAAGCTGCGTAGCACTGCCTTTGTGCAGCGCTCAATTGCACGTTCGTATAATCCGCGATTACTGGAAAAACTGCTCGTGTAACACAGAATCAAGGCATACTTTATATGATGTAGCCGATCCAAAACAACCTTAAAATTCGCATCATTGCAAAATTCACATAAACCGTAGTCATATCATTGAGATTCTACTGTACCAGCCAGCTGAGCCACTTGGTAGGTATACATTAGGGGTGTAGGAATATGGTAAATCTCATAAATTTTTCCAATAGTGCAGGCTATTCGATTCAATTCACACTGGAATTTCACTATTTGACTATTCCAACTTCTCGAAGAAAAATACAGTCAGCATTTGATTGGCAGTGTCCTCTTAAGATTTTCAATATACTTCACTACCATCACACTTTCGTACTGCGGCAACGCTGCCTTTTAAACTCTGCTACACATAGAGTTTCCTCAAATTAACTAGAAGGGACTCTGGCGCAGCGGTTGTCTAGTCTTCATGCTTGTGGGTTTTCAATGCACTTGTGGTTTCGTTTATTTCAGTGTTCTGGTTTTGTTTCAAATAAAGGAACAGACTGTTTTGAACTGCGTGAGCCGATTTGAAATGGTGAGCCTAAATTAATAGGGTGGTGAAGCGCAACTACTGAACATTTATCGATGTTTGTTTTGTGACGAAGCAGTTATAAGCCTCACTCTCATAGACACTAGTGCCAGAGTTCCCCCTAGTGTATCTATAAGAAACTCTATGCTGCTACAGTAACAAATGTATTGACTTAAAAAAATGCTGGTTCCAACATGGAGATTATAGATGTGTAAATGTAGAGCTCAGTTAATCCTGTTTTGGACCTGAAATCAGGCAACACTTAGGTTGCACAAAATCATGTTTATAAATACAATTCAACCTCAGAAACACCTCATTCTCACAACTTAAATTCAAATCAAAGTGAATACGAACATCGTAGCATTCATTCGAACATTCGAACTCCTCTACAATTTAAACAAGAATGAAATTTCAAAACAAGTACACACCAGCAACGGATCCTCGTAGTACTGCGTGTTGATGACAATGCACATAACGCCGCTGCACCAGAAGGTAAAGTAGTCGTCACCAAAGCTGTTCCTGTAGGCGCACACACTGGCAGGTGTGGGCTGGTTGCCAATGTCGTGGTTGCCGCAGACGCACACCAGTGGCACCTCACTGCTCATTTTGGAGAAGACACGCTTGAAGTCGGCCTCCTGTTCCGGCTTCAGCTCATCCCCTGCAACAATGTCAACTTAACATGCACAGGTGCCCCCAGAGTTATTCTCGCACTAGTGGAAGGCTGGGCCAGTTGGTCCAACATGATGTGTTGTGTATAAAGCACCGTTAAATGCAGAAAAGTGTACATCGGCCAGATGGGTTGATGTTTAAAGGATCGACTCGGAGAACGTGTGTCGTCCTTGAAGGTTCTCGCAGCTGGCGCACACTTGTCTATGCACTGCAAGGATTGTGGGTGCGATCCGCAGTTTGGCAGCACGAGTATTCTGAGCTCAGACTGACCAGAGAAATCATGGAAGCAAGGCAGATTAGGGCGAACGCAAGCACGTGTATAAGTGTTCCCTAGGTGGTACTAAATGATTCACGATTATGACTGCTCATTAATCACCCTCTCCTTTATTATCTTGCAATTTAAACCCCTTCCACATGCAGAATGCGCATCTATGTTGTACTGTAAAAGCTCGTTAATACAAACTCAAAGCGGACTATAAAATTGTTTCTAATTAAGCATAGTTCGAATGAGCAGATGGCCACTACTACAGAAGTGGTGCTACACCGGGCCGGCAAAACCTAAAGATGCCACCTCTGGACTGACTATTGTGGATTAGAAGCTACCAGACGTTTCTGGCAGTTGATCTTGTAAATTAAGTTCAAAGAGCTTCAACAGTGAATGCCGTTTATTGATGAGTCATTATACACCAGAAGCAAGCACCAGCATGAATTCATGAGAGTAGCAAGCCTTAATGTCGAAATATAAGACGAAATTTATGCTTCAAAACATTTTTTTATAGTACACAGTTAATACAATCAAAATAACAAGTAAGCAGCAATTTGCATTTTCTTGCATTTCTTCAGTCAAGACTCCATGAGCATTGTTTGCAGATTGCCCAACAGATTCATCGCAGCATCCAAATTCTCGTCTACTGAGAAATGCTGCTCTTTCGTTGTTTTGAGCCTCTAGCAAATTTTGATTCCATTTGGTCTTCCCACACATTGTGATCACTTGGCCAAATTCTGCGAGGATCGATAAAAACCAGGGGCTCCCAGTTCGAATTGACCGTTGCGGATACCAATGCCTTTGAAATCATCAGGAGCTTTCCCCAAAGAAATACACAGAGCTGTTCCGATTTCAAGGCGTCAGTTCAAGTTAATTGAAAGTTCGAATTAACAGAGTTTGAATTAACGAGCATTTACTGTAGAAGTATCCATATACACATAATTACTGATTTCATTGATATGTGGGTTTTAATGTCCTAAAACCACCATATGAATAAGGAAGTTGCCATAGAGGAGGGCTCGGGGACATTTCGACCACCTGGGGTTCTTTAACGTGCGCCTAAATCGGAGCACACGGGCATACAGCATTTTCGAATCCATCAAAAACGCAGCCGCCGAGCCTAGATTCGCTACCGCGACCTGCGGATCAGCAGCCAAGTACCTTAGCCACTAGACCACCGCGGCGAGGCTCCATATACACGTATAAGTGCCCATTAGTTTGGTCTGGATTCAGATGATATTTTAGCAACTGTTCCACATATATTATTATGCGAACTTTTACTCTTGTGTTGTCTTTCCGATTGCTCCTTCATCTACTTGGTGGTAAATAAAATTTTATTTCCATATGATTTGATTGTCTATATATTCACATTCTGAATAGTTTTCACCACTCCGTAGCCTTTGCAATAAAATAAAAAAATCGCAAAGGACAGGTGCAGTGGTGTAATGTGACGTCACCCTAGCCAAGAATGACGAGGCAACTTTTTTATCAAAGATAGGCCCACCTACAGAAGAATTGGATAGCCTGTTACGTGTTCATAGTACTTTCAAGAAATTTCATAGCATTCACTCATATTGAGGTTTACAGAACATGACAACTATTTCATGCCTAGTGCTTGCTAGAACTACTCAATTTCTAAACAATGTTAAATTTTGTAAAACACATGTAAAGAAAGAATAATTAATGATGTGAAACAATGACAGGGCTCCCTAATGATGCCCAGAGTATACACTCGCATCTTTCTCGTCTGCATTACAAGTTGCTTTACTTATCATAAAACTTGCAGCAGAGATCAAATTGAAAGGGTTTGGAGGTGTATCCAGTATGCTTTGAATGTCCTCAATTATTTGAACCACCCTATATTTGCAAGCCCGATTGTGCATGTGGCGCCCATAGGTGGTTAGCGTTCCCCAAACTAAGCAATCAGTTGTGAGATATCGTAGTGCTGGGTATCCGCAGTCGTTCCAACTATTGAGAATTCCTTTACAACATTTATGTCTCAGTAAGGAGCACATTTGATTTCAATTCTGTGGGAATGCACCCAATGTAGGCATGACGTGAACTGTTGCGAAGGTCGTGTATGGCAGATCTTGGAGCAGCAAATGGCTAGGTGTGACAAAAGTGGCATCTGTTCATACTGTGTGCACGTGTCACAGGTCCCGTTAATTAGGGAGGCAATCGCCGGGATATTTCTAAGGGCCGAAGTATCGGCCCGTCGAACTGCACCACGAAAGCACGGACAATTTAGAAGTGGTCCTATTTGGCGCGCCAGCGGACGCCGGCTGTGGTCCAAAGAACGAGTCAGAGCCGAGAGTTGATAAACAAAACAAAATTATATCCTCAAGTGTGGCAGATCAAACAATACACAAACATGCACACTCGGCAATAGTTCAGTACAATATTTCACCAAGCTAGCAACGAACTACCAAATACAATCAACTACACTTGAAACAACGGGCACAAACAACAATATGCGCTACAATGCAATCACATGCATCGAACAACCAAGACACTAAAAGACTAAAGAGTTCAAAAACTTATTCAGTCCAAAGTCCTTGGAACAATGTCTGAATAATACTCTTCCAAGAATCACTCACTCAAAGTCCAGCACTGTTGTCGATCCGCTGCCCCCGAAGTTTCTTTTCCAGGAAACCTCGCATCTTCGATTGGCCGCTTTCCAAGCACCATACTTCTTCACCGGTAACACGTCGGCTTCCCATGTGCAGCTGCTGCAACGCGTCTTCGCTCGCTGGCGGTAGACACACTCTTCTGCTTGTAGCACAAGCCTTCACCGTTCAGGTGGAAACCTTCTTCATTACATGCTTTGTCACTAACGACAAAAGCCTTCGCCGACACGGCAGAATGACCCTACGCACACTTGTGCAAAACTTCCTTCATCTCCTGCCTACGCACGCTGGCGTAAACTGTCTTCGTCTCCTGGTTTCCCTTTTCCGCTGCTCGCTTAAATACCTTTTGTGTTAGATTCCAGAAAATTCTAATCGTTTCATCGGCACGATGCACAGCCAAGACTGGGGAAAGGACGAGACGTTTCGAGAGCCGTCTGCGACACGTGACGCAACTATGCATTACCACGCCCCTTTCCTTCGAGATCTTTCCAGGGCTTGCTCGGCGGCTGATGTGAGGAGCTCGGTCGGCGAAACTACGCTTCCAAGGGGGAGGGACGGTGCGCCCGGGGAGTCTGGATGCTTGTTTTCTTCTTTAGCGTTGACCTTGAAGCATCTCTCTGACGCTTGGTATCGTCACTGTCGCCAGAATTCGGCGGCACGCTTATTTATGAGAGCTCGTTTGTGACAGCATGACATCATGAATGAGACCCATACTTATTCATTTTTCAGTTGGTGAAGCCCTGTTATACGTACAAAGCTCAAATAATTGCACGGCATGCACTGACTTTTTTAAACTTTGTTCTCGTCTCCATGAGCATTGCAGCAACCAAAATATAAGTGTGCCCAAACTAGTTTGTTTCTTAGTTCTATTAGCTATTCCTAACTACTGAGTGACTGTCACAGATATGTAGCCCTTAACATAAGGAACAAATGCCTTATGCATATTGTAAAATTACGATTCTTTTCCTGCTCACTTTGTGCAGTTCAAATGTTCCCTTGGGCCCCTTACTTATATGAGTGCTGCATCACGTGCCCAAACTTTCACTGCACATTCCCAATGAATGACTATCTTGGCATCTGCTCTCACCAGGCATGGCATCCACAAGGTCTCCGCAGACGACGAAGAACCGTGGCTTTGGCTCCATCCTGTTGACAGCTTCGACGGCCTTCTCGGTGAGCGCTATCTCCTTGTCCCACCGCGGGCATGGCTTTTTCTCCAGATATGACTCGATCATGCCAAACTGCGTGTCCGCTGCTTGAATGAAGAAGAAGGGCCCTTTCCATTGACCCTCGGTCTCTGCAAAACCAAAAGGAATGAACAGACCAATCATAACCTTGTATGTAGTTACAGTGATACTATATACTAGACATCAGGGTGTCTACCAATTTAATTTTAATAAATTTCCTCATTTTCCACGGTTATTTAGGATCAATCTGAGCATATTTATTGAATTGTAAGCATGTTAGAAAAACTGATCGTCTGTGTAACGGATGCGAGCCTTTTAGCAGTAAATATAGACTAGGGAGGGGATAAGCATGTAGTGTTCTAAGGAAGATTTCCTAGTAGGGCAGTAATGATGCCAAACCTGAAAAAATACATTTATTTATTTATTTAACATACCTTACAGGCTCTTCTTAGAGCATAGGGTAAGCGGGACATATACAGAGGGCAAAAAGAAAAAGAACAATGAAATTGTTTCCAGTTGAACTATGCAAATTGAATACAACTTAAAGGGGCCCTGAAACACTTTTTCAAGTAATGACATGGATTCACTAATAGAGCTGATTGCCTTATGAATTCAACCCCGCAAAAATTTTAAGAATCCGTCCAGTACAAGCAGAGTAACGAAGAATTGCCGCATGTTGCGATCGCGTTTTCTTTTCTCTCATCCCGGCGAAAGCACTGAAGGCTAAGCAAGAAGGAATGGCAGGGGCAAAGAAAATTCGTCACGTGCGCCTCGTGACCTTAAGGACTTTTTCTTTTTTCTTCGAATAGGCGGCTTTTTTCGTGTGACCGTGCGTGCACGCGTGGTCAAGTTGCGGCCTACCACTGTGATCCCGGTAACAACCGAGAGCGCCATGTTCAAATCGAAAAGTGGCTGATAGATGGCGTTGTGCGCGTGATTATTGAGCTTCCTCTGTCATTTGTCAAGAGAAGAGAAAGCAATTTTTAGATGACTGATAGTTTATTGTGGATTCCAGGCCGCATACTGGGCTATAATATTTGACTCGTGTGTTTTCAGGAGCCTCCACAGCCAATTGGCAGCGTTTTCTGGCCACCCTCAAAAAGTGTTGCAGGGCCCCTTTAATACAGTGTGTGCTAATTAAACTTTCAGACCCCGAAGTCTTGAACTAGGGTTGCTTTAGTTTATAATTTCCCTTGATTTAGAAACTACAGCCATTTTCTGTGATGCACACCAAAAAGCCTTCAAGGTAGCATTTCATGCGAAGTCTTTGAATTTTATTCCTCCTCAGACTTTTACTTTCAAAACAAGATAAGCTTTTGCATCTTGAGCATTCCTTTTTTATAAAGAGGGAGAGCTGATATCATGCAGCAATGATGCCACATGGTAAGAAATCAACAGTGCAAGTAAACAAACAAGGCCCACTCACAGTTTGAAGTCCTATAAAAAGGAGGGAATTGGTAAGTGAACAAAATTTCTTTTTGTAGTCTTACAATGGAGAAAGGCAAGGATACCGATTGCTGTTAAAAAGCAATACAGACTTGAGTAAGGCAAACAATAACTTGTTTGCAAACACTTGCTCAGACTTAGTGCATATGTATAGCGCTATCACACTTTCATGAAACTTTTGAAAAAAGAGGGAAAAAAATTAGCGACATTTCTATCCTGAATGCAGCTTTCAAATAGACACTTGGATGCTATTCCATTTTTGTGCACAGTGCATACAATTTTCTAGAAATTATTTTATTGTGCACAAGGGTTGAGGTTATTTTGCCTAACACATTCTTTAGGATATCCTAGGCATGCCTGGCCTGCACTTTTTGATGATCTTGTTCAACATGTTAATGATGCTAGGTGATGAATATGAGGTCATTTGGCTTGTGGATGACCTGTCACTGCTTGCATTGCTTTTCTGTTATAATCACTAAGCCTCTGAGATTATATCTTGTTAATGGCATGTGCTGTTCTTGCCCTTCGAAGCAGCAAGATGATTTATCAATGCTACCATTGCTGCATACATTTCATATTTCCCTAGCTGAAATAGCTATGGATGCCGTGAACATGATGCAAAATACACACTGTACCACCACCACCACACTGGTACCCCAACATGGTAGCTATATATATATATATATATATATATATATATATATAGAGAGAGAGAGAGAGAGAGAGAGAGAGAGAGAGTGACTTTATTAGAAAAACAGATTTTTACCGGTGCCTATATACTGCTGGCATGCTACACTGTATAGAGATGAGAAATGGGATTAAAATATTTCAGAACAGGGAAGAAAAGAATGATAGGAAAACAATATAAACAAATATGAAGTGTCCAAGTGAACCTGATAAAACTATTTACAATAAGGGTATCGGGTGTTAAGGCTTTCCTATGTGAGGTATTCTATCGTTACAGCCTTCTGACAAAGTCAATTTTGAACAGGTAATTGACTAATTACTGTACAACCTAACGCTGTTTTAAAGGCCCGGGCACTGGGCCTAATATGCTGTGCAACGTTAACTGGTCATGGCAAATCATGTCCATTTGTCGTTCAAACTACTGTCACTCGTCATGGTTTGCGAGATATTCAAGTAGTGTGTGCTCCACTGTCTCTATCCAGCCACAGTTAACACAACATGGACTTGCGATATGCCTAATGTTGTACAAATAAATGTTTGTGTATGCCACGTTTAGCCGAAGAAGACAATATAGCATCACTAGGTGGTGAGGAAGTGAATAGAAAATTTCCTATTTCACTTCTGGGTCAATGATCGATATAAGTGTATTACATTCAATGCCATGAAATCCTGCTGATGTGAGCACTAAGACTAGCAGAAAGGCCACCGTTGGCTTTAATGTGGCAAGAGACAATCGAAACATTGTTCGAATCTGCACGAGAACTTACAGCGAAACCACTGTGCCTGACAACAACAGCTGCAATTTTCCGATATTGCCAGTCCAACATGGCAGCTAAGATGATGTCAGTACGAGCCATCTGTATTGAAATATTTTGTCAGCTCTTAATTAGCATAGAAATGATTTAAAAATTAAGGTTACATTTTTTGGTCCTGTTTAATATATATTTCAGTAAAATGAGTAAGAACTGAGGCATTTTTTTGGTACAGTGCATGAACATTACCTAATAGTAATCAATCAAGGCTCTCTTATTTGCACAGCTTATATCACTACGTCAGGAATTTCCTCGCGTCGTGCCTCCCCTTTTGTTTAATTTGTTTTTTAACCTCTCGGCGTAAGATTGTCACTCTTGGCGCATCAGCTAACTTACGAACGGAAGTCTGCCGCGGAGCACGAAAGAAACGCCCAGCCGACAACAGCTGCCTATTTTCACCCGATGCTTTAAATACTGTATCGAATCGCCGCAATGACAAGCGTCAGAGACTGAAATAAAACACTTTCACAATGATTAGGCGGTCGTAAACAACGCCGCGACTGCAGAAACTATAGAACCCCCCTTTTTTTAGCCTGTAACCGCCCGGAACAACTTCCAGTTCATGCTGGTATCACAAGATTCACTTGCGATCGCGATTGAGCCAGATCGGGATCGAATTTGTCGACCGCGATTGGCTCTTTTCAGCCGTTTGAGCGAGTAAGCCGATCACGAAATTCGATCCGATAAAGATCGAAAGTGGATCGTGCAACGCTTTATTGCGCAATACCGCGAAACGAACGCTGTCGAAGTTGTGGGCCGAAGGCGGCAGGGGGTTGTTAACCCTAGGTTTCGGATCGTAGATGCATTTAAATGGTAAGCCCACAGGCGGTACGGCGTGCCGCACGAAACTCCGCAGCGACATGTAGCATCCGCGCCGGCAGACGCGCGCACGATGATCGCCTTACCCTTCGTGAGACCCTCGAACGACTTGTTGCGAGCTCGGATCCTGAATCCCGTCGACACCGTCGCAGGCTCCTCGGTGATGTGGTAAGGTTGAAACGACTTCTCCACGGTGCTCGGCATTACAGCTGCTGAGAGTCCCGGAAACAAGCGCCGGAAACCGCCACACCTGCTGACAAGTCTGGTGCGGTGTGCACAGCACATGCACACGCGCGCACTGAAATCGGGAGGGAGGGCGTCAGGACCCTTCACAGATAAGCGTTCAGAACCCAACAACTCCGAAACAAACACCAGAAGAAAAGCGGGAATGTGCTACGTCGCAGCTGAAGTAAGATTTGCGTCACATGCCGGCGGCCCCCGATATATATTTGTCTCTTCTGGGAGGCGAGTGCTGTCACAAGGTCTTAGTGCGCGTTCGCAAATTCCAAGTTAACTGTCGGTTTAAGTAACGGCTGCCAATCGGTACTTACTGCGAACTTCAGGGGTTCAAGCAGTTACACGAGGTTCAAGTACCGAGTGAAAGCCGCAAATATACAAAGAGCGGCGAAAAATTCGGCTCGAATCCGCACTTTGATCGGCCTTGTGCGACAGCTATGTATCCACTGGGATTCCATACATAGAGTAAATTACGACTAAACTGCCGTTTTTCTAATTACATAACCTTGTGTATAAAAACCATAAATGCGACAGCGTGTCAAAAGTGTATTGTGCAGCATGAAGAAAACAAAAGAACTAAAGTTTTATTAGTTCCATAAGCAATGCAATGCAGACACGCTGTCCCCATTTTATGGAGGTATGCTCCGGCAATGAACGTGATAAAGTTCAGAAAATTTCCGTTAACGAACATCACGACAATCAGTTAAGTTTTTACAAGACTGCGTGGGTCAACGGAGTGACCCCGCCAATGAATTTTGAGCTGGCTCCACGGGGAAACAACAGGAAAACAAAATAGGCGGAGAGCTTCCCGGCCATTTTGTTAGAGACAGCGTGCGTAGGTGGTGCGCGCATTGTGAGTGCGTCTGTGCGTGCGTTTGTGTTCGCCTACTGTGATCTGCGTTATGGCTTCGCGTGAGGGCTTCCGACGTCCACTCTAGCTGCTGCGGATCATGTTAGCTGATCTGTAACGCGGAAGAACATCGTGGCCTCTTCAAGCAGTCGGAAGCTCCGAAAAGCCTCGATGCATCCGTGATCGTAGAGCGGCATTCGGTGGTAAAATGGCGGACCAGCAACGCGGGATTTCGCGGATAAATTCCCGTGAGTACGGCTATCTGCACCGAATCCATTCGTTTCAAGGGGCGCCCGCTGTCGCTTAAAAGCATTCGGAAAGAGTGCTTGGTGCCGTGATTGAGCCTGTCTACTTGTTTGGTATTGTATTACTTTTGTTTTCGTCGGAAGCCGTAAGGTCTCTCCGCGCGCTGATCGCGACTTGCACATATCCATTTCAAACACTCGAGGAAAACAAAGCGATCGTCGTAAAGGGATCAGGCTAAACTTGTAAACTTGTGCCATCGGGAGTCGATGTTGGGTTTTGTGAGAATGTTTCAAGTGCGAGATGTGAAGGATGCATGTGTGGTACCGGATTGCAGCTGTGTGTTGTCGTTTTTGCAGCCCGTGATATACACGGCCGTCCGTCTCAGAGGGAGCAGCTGAGACTCACTTTCGGAAACGGTTCCAAGAAACACCTGGGAAATGCCAGCAAGCTGCCGTCCAGCATACCGGGATTTAACTACCCCGTGCGAACGTGAGTCTTCGGGCGAAAGTTGACCGAATGCGTTTGACACTCAATCCTTGTTGTACAATAATCGGGTGTCATTATACGCGACCTACGCCGCACAAATCGTGCTGTGCACTCTCTTACAAGTGCACAGGGTTACGCGAATTTCACCGAAACGTTGTGTGATCGCGACAGCTTGATTCCACTTTGTGAAACCAGAAAACATGTTCTAATTGAATTTGGCTCGTTGTAAACCGAATTTGGCTCGTTGTAATAGACATACGCTGGTTAATAAAAACAAACCTTAGCCTATCAACGCTTTCAGTGCCACTACGGCGTCTCTCATAGTCATATGGTGGTTTTGGGACGTTAAACGCCACATATCAATCAATGCTTTCTGTGCATAGTGATGTTAAAATATTGATGTTATGCAAGTCCAAAAATGTTTTCAGTTATGGTCCATTCAGTTTGACATCTCGCACAGCATAGGAATATTGAAAGGGCTGCGTACACCAATGCATGTTGTCGGAGTCGTTATGGGAAGAACGAACCTAATGAGCTTCAATTTACGTAATTCACATATTCCCGATCGCCTCGGAAAAGCGAAATGACCAAGAACAGCAACAAAGAGAACCATCGCACTGCGTGACGTGAGTCGGTCCGCTCCTTGAGGTGGGTAATTCGAAGTGTGCTAACCCGACGCGGGCAACTAAAACGTGATTTTACTTCAAAATAAGCCCTTCCTTGGCCAAAGGTAACACTACGAGGTTTCTGGACCGCTATTTCACCAATCAATGTCGACTTAATAGTTGCCTTCAGTGTTGTGAAAATATGCCTGCTCATGTATTTTAATATTGTGTTTCAAACCATATTTCTAGCTTTTGATATGTAATTTTTACAAAGTTAAAACAAATGTAGTAACATGACACAATAGAAGTTTCAATTTCAGTCTTTTAAGTTTCTAATTAACAAATCACACAACTCTGGAACTGTATTCAGAATACTGTGGCACCTAAGAAAAGGAAAATTTGTTACGTGTATTTTGCAAATCTTATCACGCATTTATAATGAAGGTTTTTTTGAAAGCATGTGTAAAGAAAGTAATGTCATGAAATATATTGAAATATAATGCATTGTGTGTGCCTTCTTTAGATGCTTCAGTGTGACTGCAATCAATCGAACGCTCTATCTGTTTTAGTGCAACTTTGAAAGTTGTGAACTCGTTGCTATAATCTTTTTTTTATTTTATAATTGTTGATGATTGATTGCTTTATGAAAGCTTCTAAGGGCATTATAAGATGTCTGCTGCAAATGTTTACCATAATATAGGCTTCTTTCTTAAAAGTAACATAATATCAGTTGCACTGCTATTTAATGGGAGCATGTCTACATTTTGTTTTCAAACTTCTTTCTTTACATGTTATTTAGTTACTTTTTAAAATGCTGACTATTAGCCTTACATGCCTAACTTTGCACATTGGCGGGCTGGAACTAGCAGTGAGGTTGGGGTTTGCACAATACAGATTCTAAAGTTGCCTGTCATTCTCTCGCTGTCATGTCGATATTCAGCACCTTTACAAAATATAAAAGTTCACTCGTTGGCAATGATCAGCCTGTGAACAGCATTTTCGCCAGTGCAATTCAGTACCTTGAGAAAATTTGGTAAATCGTCTGTGTCGAGTTGCACTGAACTGCATTGGCATAAATCATGGGGTAACCTCGTCCTTCCTTTGTTTTTAGTGTTGGGAGACACGCTTGATTATTTTCTAGTGCCTAGCTGTGTTCCATACCTCTAGGCTGTGTGAGACTATAGAAGGCACAAAAGCTGCTCGACCAGTTGAAAAAAATGCTGAATAGAACAATGCAATTACTTGAGCTAGGCCCCAAAGTTTGTTAAAAAATTTATTTCAAAGCAGTGATTTATTCTTAAAAATGCCACTCATATGTATAAAAACAAAATGGCTAGTGATGGTCTGCTGTGTGTCCTCCCTTGTGATTTTTTTGGATTTATGCCAGTGGTGAACCGCACCTTTTCTTGCCCTAGTAACGATGTCATGTCACCTTCATAGCTGTTGTGTATCTCGCAAAAATAGATGCCTATGTGTTAGTACAGGTGGTTTTATAATGCTTAAAGCTTGTTTCTCGATGTATTGCATGTTGCTGCAACTGGGGGGCTTGCAACGCTGATTTTTATTTATTTTCTCATGCAGTGAGCGAGTATGGCTACCACCGAAAATTCACTCATCGGGAAAGCTCAAGATCTCGCCTGAAGAGGTGCGAGATACGTACACATCTTCCAGCTTTTGCGATTTTATTGCAAAGGGCTAAATCTTCGGTGCTTGTCATTTGTCTTGTATCCAGTACTTCCTGGCAGTGCTAATATTGGTGTTATTTTTATCTCTTGCTTCAGGAAGTATTTTTTTTTTCAGGCATAAGGGTTACATGTATGGCAAGATTTCTGTACTCTGTTTCACACATCATGTGCAACGTTGCGGAAGCTAGCGAGACTTCTCGCAGTGAATGCGAGAAGGAATTGAAGATATTATGTTTCTTACAAACAAAAACGCCATTGATTGTTATTATTTGGCTCTATAGCTTAGTTTTTACGTGACATCACATTCAGGTTCTCTACTCTGAGTACGTCATGATGGCGACCACCTGGACGTTCAGTGTCAGTGCAGGATGGGACGCCACAGGGTTGTCCGGTACCCGCGTTCGTTTGTGCTCACCCCGCTTTTTCCTGTTCGCCAGTCGTGCCAAAGGGGAGCACAAAGAAACGCGAGGGTGAACTGGCTCTGATGAGATGTCATGCAAGCGACTACGAAATGCGCGTAGTTATACGTTTTGCTGGCCGCACTTCTTGTATAGCTTCCACAGCGTTCCACCTGATGTATGAAACGGAGAATAGACATGGTTTGGGCCCTGCCAGCAACGAGTTGTCTTTTCGTCCAATTTTGTTTCCTCACATTTACATTAAAATTACAAATAACATCCCCTGTCCTTTCCTTGGCATCACTGTCAATTAGTTCTCGCTAATGTTTAGGTCACATGAACTAGAGCTGTCGAGGTGCAATAGACTCTTGTACATGACGTGTCCAGGCCACATGACCTCTATTTCTTTAGCAGTGGTTTGGCAGGGGCAGGGAATATTAGCATTGAAATGTGATTTTCTCTGAATCATTTTAATGGCTTGAAACAAGGCCTGCGAGGTTTCGGTAATTGTATGTGAACAACGCTCGTTGATTTAATGTATGCTTTTAGTTTCCCTTTAAACAAATCTCCTGCTGATAATATCAAGAGCATGTTTTTTTTATCTTGTTGATGCTCTGTCCTCGTTGCAGGAGTACGATTTCACCGCCGATGATTTGATGGACCTTGGTGAGATCGGCCGCGGTGCATTCGGCACGGTCAATAAGATGGTCCACCAGAAAAGCAAGCTTGAAATGGCTGTCAAGGTAAGGTTGTTGCGCCTGCTTGAAGTCAACTTATTCCTTGCCTTAATCCCATCTATATTTGAGGGAATATCCTGTCCTAGCAATTTTGTTCGATGCATTTGTATCACCCATGCTGTTTTGCTCCAGTGGTGTTATGCTAACCTTTCACTGTAATTCTACTCCATGCTTTCATAACTCCTTCAATTTCTTTCCAATTAGGTAGACTTGTCATGGGCACAAAGCCTGCCAATTTACAGCACTGTTGAAGGTGCAGCCAGTTTTCGCGCTTTTAAGCCATTTTGATCTTTTATTGGGCCCCTCCTGACAATACAACTCTGCCATAGCATTTGCTCTCAGGCACCGCCAGAGAAGCTTTTTTGTTTGCATGCATGCATTTTCTTATTACATTGTGGGAACATTCTCCATGCCTAGTAGGACATCTCATGACAAATAAATACACGTATGTTACATACGATTTATGGCCCTATCCGGCGAGGTTTTGCAGGCCCAGATAGACGACCTGCCTGCAATATTTCTCGCATAACAGTAACTATAGCAGCTTGTGAGATCTACTCATTTTTTTATAATTTTTTTTACAGCTTTGAGTCAGAAAATGCTTTCTACCTCAGGTAATCACCATTATCAGCCTATTTTATGTCCGCTGCAAGGCGAAGGTTCCTCTCGAATTTACCCTATCTTATGCTAGCGGATTTCATTTTGCCACTGCGTACTTCCTAATTACATCGCATCAATCTTAGCTGTCATTCTCGGCTGCATTTTCTATTCTTTAGTGACTGTTTCATTGCTCATAACTGCCCACTGGTTATCTGTTCAATGCATTATGTTGCTGGCCAAGGTTTATTCTTCTGTGAGGCTGAGCCTGTGGACGTGTTTGTTTCAGCGCATTCGTTCCACGGTTGATGAGAAGGAGCAGAAGCAGCTGCTGATGGATCTCGAGGTTGTGATGAAAAGCAACGACTGCCCCTACATTGTCCAGTTCTACGGGGCCATCTTCAAGGAGGTAAAGCAGCACAGTTTACTGCTGCCTGCTTCATTGTGATACCGTTAAAGAGCTCGTTTCGCAGAAATTTCGACGCCGGTGTCAGCGCCGTTAGTTGCGAGCGAAAAATCATCATCTTGTGCGTGACTGAAAAATCGAAAAAGATGCAAATAAAATAAAAAACTCTGGGTCTGAGTGGGGTTAGAACCCGGGTTGTTTGCATGGCAAGCCGATGTTCTACCACGCAGCCACGCATTTTAGAAGTTTTGAAATTTGCTATACTTTGAACATAATGGCCTGCATAACAATTTTTTAAACTTAAGAATACGGCGAATCGATGTGTGGGTATTATGTATATTTAACCTTGAAGTGGGGCTTCACGGCAGTGCGGATTTCCCCTAGATAGGTGTTCTCACGGCATAGCACTTTTTCAGGTCAGTGAAACTACCTTTACAGGGGGCTTACATGCAGACTAATCTATACGCTAGCTGCAATTTCATAGCATTCAAAATGAACAAGTACACATACTGGTCTACTCATTCATTCTGAAGAAGCTAAATTTGAATCGAGGTGAATTCAAACAGTGTATTATTTATACGAATATTAAAAGTGCTTGAATATTCGCACAGGCCTACTTCATGATAATGCTATAATATTACGAGCTGCACTGAAACTCGGTTCACTTTGGTGCTGAAAGAAATGAAGGAACTTGGAAATCAAGTGGGACTAGGGGGTGCCTGGCCCCTCAACCACGATTTAAGCCATGCATGCACGTATATACATACAATCCCATCTTCATTTCGTGCATATATACAAGGTGTTTCAGCTAACTTGCACCTAGTAATAAATATACAAGGATATGCGCTACGAGTCTCAGTTTTGAGATGTATGCAGCATGTCGGGATATTCTTTTCAATTGTCCAAGCTGGGTTACAAACAAAGTTTGCCTAATTAGCTTCCTAATTAATAACTCGAGCAAGAAAACTTCAACACAGAAGTTGTAGCACTTGTTCTGAAACATCAGAATATTTCACCTATGCCAAGATAACTGCAAGTCTGCCAAGCAGGGTAATTTACGAGGATTGTTTATTTAGCAATTAAAATAGCAACTCCAATGAAAATATTCAATAGAAAAGTTGCGGCGCTTGTTCAGCAACGCCATATTATATCCTATGTGCCGAGGTAACTGGCCCGTTTAATTTTTTTACAGCTTTTCTTTAGGGTGTGAAAAATTGGAAAATATACTTGGCTCAAGTTTGCTGAAACATCCTGCATGTACTTAATTACGTACATGCATACACGCAGCACATGAGTGCTGGGAAACCCTCCCTTTCAAAAAGAGACTTAAAGAGTCAAAAAGCTCTTGATGGGAGAACTGATGGTGGCAGCAATATCTTTTTCAAATGCCGTTCTCTATATAAGGCCTGATTGCTTGTTTGGATTGTAAGTTGTCAAGTGTTTGTCCGTTGTAGTTCACATTCAAACATGCAAGCTGCTTCCACATTTTCCTTCTTTTTTAATTGTGCTACAAAAGTCTTGCCTACGTTGCAGGGTGACTGCTGGATCTGCATGGAGATAATGGACACATCGTTGGATAAATTCTACAAGTTTGTCTACGAAAAGCAGCATCAGCGCATACCCGAAGCCATCCTGGGAAAGATCACAGTTGCTGTAGGTGTTGCGATTCGTGCATTGCATGACTGCTTTCGCTGGTTTTTATTTTCGCTGATAGGAAGCTAAAAAAATACATGGTCAGTTTTGTTTCTTGAACCCATGCTGTCTGTTGGTGGCATGCTTCTGCTTTGTTATGCAGTGTGTTTAGTCAGTCAAGCTGCATTAATGTGATGTTCTTCTTAGCTAAATAACCACATATATGATGCAGACGGTGAAAGCCCTGAATTACCTCAAGGATAAGCTGAACATCATCCACAGAGGTAAGGGACACTTTTTACCATTTAACTGCAGTCGGACCTAGTTTTAAACAATTTGATGCAAAAGCATCTTTGTTATATTGAACATTTGTTATCAGCTTATATTTGTTACATAGGCGAGAAAAATTCTATACTTTGAGTGAGTTTGCAATGGGTTTTAGAAAGGCCACTCCTTTCGCGTTCTCTGCTATTGTGCTGCATGTTTTTCCTGAAAGTTGTTTTGTCGCTTACACAACTGCTATAGCCTGGTATGACTGTGTCGCAAGTTTTTTAGCCCCTTCATGACTGTTGACGAGTACAGTCCTGAGGTTTGCCGACAAAATGACCAATGACATCTATGTTAGCCATCAACAAAAATTAGTTGCACATGAAACCAGTGAAGACACCATACTCGTAGTACTTCTGTCTCTTGATGCTAGACGACCACACTTGTCCGTGTTTTGAAATTTAGGGCTCTGCTTTCATTTTATTGCCATTTTTTCATTGTGTTGCCACACAGTGAAACCACTGTCAAGTTATTTTTCGATGTGATTGGTGAAAGAAAGAAATGTTACTGAATTGAAAAAATTATGCCATTTTTCTCAGAAAAAAAGAAATCTGTACAAATCGAGTGAGAAAACTTAGCATTGATTTTGGTGCGTTTTTTTTTTTCTTTTGTTTCAGTCGCGAACGGGTTGATTGTCTTAGCAGGCGCTTCATATGTTGTGTACATAGTTTGTTGCAGCTTTTTTTTTTTTTCATTCTGCGCACAAGCTAATCTTCGATCGGCATGTTTACGCAGACGTAAAGCCGAGTAACATTCTGCTGGACCGTCGAGGCAACATCAAGCTGTGCGACTTTGGCATCAGCGGCCAGCTGGTGGACTCCATTGCCAAGACAAGAGATGCTGGCTGCCGACCGTATATGGCGGTATGTGGCAGCAATCGCCTTGCGATATCCGCAGCAGCGTTGCCAAGGGATTGAGTGTGGCACATTTCAGACATAAGTTCAGACATAAAATTTCTTCAAAAGGCTGAATAAAAGTAGCACTGCTAACATTTTCTAGCTTAGTCAAGAATTTTGATGAAAGTTTGTTTAGTGAGTAATTGAATGAGGCGAAACACAGCCACTGGCCAAGTGTGGCGAAATTTGTCTGACATTTGGAACTGCATATGGCTTGCTCGTTCACTGAGCGAGACTGTGACACTCTTTAATCTCAAAATGTGTCTTACTTGATAAAAGAAGGTGGGGGGGGGGGGGGGGGGGGCTAACATGGCTCATGCTGTAATAATTGCCGTCTTAGTTGCTTGAGTGGAATGATGGCAGGTTTATAATTGAAATGAGCTTGCATTTTAATTATGTGTTTTTAGAATGTACTGTGATGACCCTTCATCTCATATTTCAATGAATTGTGGAAGTTTGGCTATTTCGAAGTGATATTCAAGCAAAAAACCATTCCCAGCCCTGAACAGCTGCGTCGCTGCATCTTTGAAACGATAAGCTTTGGAAGTGCGATATGAGCACTCTTTTACCGTGCAATGAGCTGCAGTTTGTGTAGGTTTATTATGCTACAGTCGATCCCACTTACAATAGTATTCAAATACCACGATTTCATTGTTATAATATTCAGGTTGTTTGACGAGCACCGAAGAAGAGGAATGGCAGAGTTGATGTTGGAGCAGGTAGATTAGAATGGCAGAAACTCGGGCTATTTGATGGGCCAGATAACTGTGAAGGAAAAAAAAAAAAAGGCACGCATACGGAGTGACAGAAGAGCCACACAAAGACACGCTACATACACATGTGATGTAAATACAGGCAGAAGTAGCTGAGAAAAATATATCAAGCAAAATGGGGGAATGCTGTCCAAGAGGACCCGGCGGCTTGATTGTCCACTAGTTTATGCAGGCGCAACGCATAATTCTGTTTGTGTGTTGTTTTATCTGATAACCGGCCATTTCGCACTTAATTTTCTTGCCTAGTCATATCTCAAAAGCAGTAGTGCCTCAAATTATATTTCTGGCCCACTTCACTCCATTTGCAGCCCGAGCGCATAGATCCTTCCAGTGCCATTGGATACGACGTCCGGTCTGATGTATGGAGCCTAGGAATAACCTTGGTGAGTCTCTGTTTAGTGTGTCATTTATTATAGTAGTACAGACACATGGTATTATGATTACTCCCATCGTTATGCAATGTGATTTACATGCATCAATTTGCAGAGCGTGTTTAAGCCTTGCTTCAATTAATCTTTGACCCTTGTCGCATTGTGGATGGGGCTAAAAAGGAAACGATAAAAATTGAGACAAAAGCATTGTGTCCGGGTGATATTGAAATGCCCAAGAAATACTACGCTCCTTTATTCAATCATTTTTGAAAAATGTTGCTGCCACGTCAACTTAACAGCGATCCGCTACTTTTGTAGCTGGCTCTCAAAAAAAGTGACCTCTACACCATTTAATACTTGGATTGGGGAAACTGCATATATAAAGCACTTGTAAAAGTCTCGCACCATGTCTTTTCATTGTTGTTGTTTCTTGAAGGAGCTCGGACACTAAAATTTTAGACCTGAAATGGTAACGTTGCTCCATTCTTCTGCATATATCCTCCACTGGCTATGCATTAGTGGTGACCATAGCCACAAACATATTTTAATGTAAACTTAAAGTGTATCATACTGATGGCAATAGTGCTGCTCATCTGAGGTAACAGCACTTCATGACATCGTCATCAGTATTGCTTTTAATAGCTGAAGCGGCTCCCTGTAACGTTCAATGACACATGTTCACCTGGCTGCTATTTTTCGCGAGGCTGTTATTTGACTTTTGCTTGCAGATTGAGGTGGCCACGGGGCGGTTCCCGTACCCAAAGTGGAACAGCGTCTTCGAGCAGCTGACCCAAGTTGTGCAGGGGGACCCGCCGCAGCTTAGCCCTAACGAGAACGGAAACTGCTTCACCGCCGAGTTCGTCGACTTCGTCAACACCTGGTATGGGACATTCGTATAACTTGACTACTAGAATGTCTGATCAATCGACCGAGAGTCAGTGGACTGAATAGAAACAAATTAATTTCTTTCACAATGAGGGTTAAATGTCTCCCCTCAAATGTTATTTTGCTTTGGATTGGACCAGTCGTGAGCTGGTTTGTAGTATAAGGAAATATATATATGTATGAATTCAAATGTGTTAAGCTTATTTATTGCAATGAGCTTAGAAACGTTGTCTTCACTCATCCATTGCAGAAAACAGTGACTTCCAAATCTCGAAACGTTGCCACTTGGTTGTCAAGGGTACTGATTTCCTTTATTCTCATTGCAGCCTCACCAAGACGGCCCACACTCGTCCCAAGTACAAGCAACTTCTGGTGAGTGCTCATTCCCAATGACACACTTGCTTGCCGTTTATTAATACACACCAGGGAGATTCCAAGTGAGGCATTACTGATTGAGTGCCTGGCTTGCGGCCAACCACAATGCCACCAATACTTGCAAAGTGTAAAAGGCGTTTGCCTTGAACTCTTCTGGGCTATTTTCAGTGTGATAGTTGATGTATTAAAGAAATGAGGAAGTAGAATTCTGCCTGAAGGCCTGAAACTTTGTAAAACTGGTTTTCTTGTGCTACTTCTAACCTTTCTTGCGGTCTGACAAACAGGGAACGATTTCGTGTTGTGCTTGTTCAGGTGAAATTTCTCTGTTCTTGAGTGCAGTGGAATGCCAATAAAGGGAAATCACTGGAACGCCATGCTCATGGTTAATTGGTGTTGTATTTATGAAATACTAAAGATGAAAATCACATGTCCATCCTTATGTGTACAGCATTTAACCGCCATATATACAGGTTGCCAACCATAAACCATGAGAAGAAAGATCTCGCGAAGTGTGTTTAATTAAGTGTGCCCTTTGCGAGAATACATTCTTTGTATACATGTTATTCAGATAGTGTTTGTTGTTCTGTGTAGTCGTGCAGAAAATGGGGTTAGCAGCACAGGCACTTTAATGCGGGATGATTTTAGAGGTGTTCTTTTCTGCCTGCTGATGCAAGTGCCTGTGACATAGTGGTTAGAACATTGTGGTTTTGTACTAAATGCTCGGAGTTGAAGCGTCTAGACCTAGATGCTTGCATGTCTTTGGGCACAATCTCATGTATTGCCCTTCTCGTACACGAAGCTACTCGCGAGTCTTCGCAGCCTGTTGGCATGAATCACTCGGGAAAGATTGCTTATCTGAAGTGCTTCCATTTTCGCACCATGTGTTTTGAAACATTTCATGCCAAACCAGTGACCACAGTCAAACCAACTTAGAACAATCCCAGGTGTAACGATCTGTTTGTTATAACAACCATATTTCGGTGCACTTACGATTTTTTTACTCGTTGAAACTGCATGACATTTTTCAAAGCCTCCTACTTTTTACAACGAACACTTCCGATGTGATCGCAGTTAAAATATGGCGCATACAAAAGGGAAAAAAAAAGGGTTCTGTGATGATGCTTCTATAATCACTCTCCCATTCTTAGACTAACTCTGAGGCACAGTACCAGTTAGCTAAATTTTGCCACAGCATTGACATCACTGGTCGCTTTGTATGCCGGTAGTGCTGTGGTAAAACTTTGGAGCCATCATTATTTTTGCATGGGATTGCCCTATTTGTATTGCCGAGAGCGAAACAACGCAAAGCGGACGCAAGTGGATGTATGACTGACCCGGTTATTTTGCCCCAAATCTTTGCACACTGGAACTTTGACGTCGACGTATACTAAAGTGACCATGTCTGATACCTCACTACTTTTAGAATTATCATTTACAAAGCACCTTGCTTACAAGAAACATGTTTTCCAAGTTCCATAGTGCCCCTTGTAACCAGATTTTACAGATTGAGACTCGACAAAGTGTCGTGGCAACTTGACACAATGCCTCATCAAAATGTGCAGAAAAGATCATTTTAAAATTATAAGTGTGAGTGGTGCCTCTTTTGAGGACGCCTCAACAACGCCGTGAAACTCTATTGCAGGATCACGATTTCATCAGGCGTGCCGAGAGGGACACCGTGGACGTCGCGTTCTACATCAGCAACATTTTCAGCAAAATGAATGGCATGTCTCCCTGATGCAAGATCCCCGAGGGCTTCCCAAACACTCTTCAAAAACTGCTGACGCAGTTTTTCCCCCGCGCGCATGCAGCCGATGCTGAATGTCACCAACCAACAACCAGGGTTTCGAAAAAGCCGGCTCTTTCTCTTGTCCAGTATAATAGCCTGTTGTGATGATGACACCCATGTAGGCATGGCTCCAGTGTTGCCAGTCACGAAACGTCTTGTCTCTCACTGCAGCCCGATTTGGCTAAGCTAAGTGGTGTGGTGGATGGCTACGGTACGAGCACTGACATGCAGTCGGTTCAAAGCTGTGGTTGTCAGAACTACAGCTTGTGGATGTGTTGGGCCTGGAATGCAACTTCTTTTCATGGTCAGTGCAAGTGAAGTCTTAACTATGAAACAGGACTATCATGCTCTATGCTGAAAGTTAACGTGAGTGGTCAATAATTGACCTGTACGTCTGTCTGCGTCCGTTGCCATGGACTATAGCTGCCCTTAATTGCCATGGAAACTGCTTACAGAATGGAGGTCTTTTCAGTACTTGTCACTGACAGCGCATCACCAGGGGTTTTCTGCATGCTAGCCAACTGTGCTGCTGAACACAGTTTCTCCATAATTTTTATCATGTTTGACAGCACACCTTCACTGCCTTGTTGGGGTTATTAGAACTGTGTTTTCTAAATCACCGCAGTGCACAACAAAAGCTACAGTGGATAACTTCGAAAGAACATTTAGCATGTGCCATCGTCTACTTGATTTCTTAGGATTTTTCATTACTCTCGAGCAGAAGGTCTGTGTCTGCTTGCAGAAGCACTGTTTCCGTGGTGGCATATGGTTGTCGCTTTTCTTTTTGCCTGAACATGGTTGGACTAGAGGGAAGAGATCACACATTCATTTAAACAACTTGTATTTCAGGGTTAGGGCTGACCAGCCATCGCAGATAAGTTGTGGCGTTGTGACCCTGGCTATTTCGTTTGAAATTACTTCAAATAACTAGACGATTTCTCCGCACGGTGTTAAATGAGCTTTGTCTGTGCATGCTGGTTAGCTTTACCTTCACAGTTTTTAGCAATTTGCTCGACTGCAGTACTTTTATTGGCTCATATTTAACACATCCTGTTTGTGAGTTCATGTGTCCACTCTAGTCCAGCCGTGTCTTGACAAACCAGGCAGACATGTATGCCGAGTGCTCTATTGAACTATTTCGCTAGTTCTTGCTTCAGAATTCCGGTGACAATAAACCATCAGTCAGCACTAAATCTAATTTATTGGCTGTCGAAATAGAAACATGAATCACGTCTTCTTCTTGAAGGCTAAACAAGCATGGTGTCATGAAAAATGAAAGAGCATTCAAGTTTTTAAAGAGGCTTCCAAGGTATTGGAATATGGCATTGTAAATACGCCAACGAGTGGTTGGTTTAGCAGAACAGTCCGTTGCTGCGCGAGAGGTACCACTCAAGTTTCATGACTGGCAAAATCTGGAGCGGCCAAGTTATGCGAAAACTCTCAAACTCTTAGTTTCCGCACTCTTCTTAGCAAAGTTCCTCAACACTAGTTCCAGCTACTAAGATAGCGGCTGAGAGCATTTGTACGCAGCTACTTGGACTACAAGATTAGCACGAAGTGCTGACGTGTGCGCGCAGACTATGCTCCAGCGTGTGGCATACCGTATGAAGGTGTTAAGGCCATTCTCTTGTCTCAGTGTGTAGTTCGGAATAAGTTATTGATGAGGGTTCAAACTGAAGTCTTTCATTTCTATATTTTCTGTTTTTCGTGAGGACTCTCTTATTTTATGAAAGCCCTAGTTAGTGAGGAGCACAACTGTGTGCTTGTCTCTTGTGGTATGTGCCTGCTTATGCACGTTTTTTTGGATGGTTCACTTTTTTTTTCTGTAATTCATTTACACAAGTTAGCTGTGTGCCACTGCTTAATGATGGCACTGACCAGTTTTGCTGATTTTTGGCGTGATTTGTTGGATTGACCCCGAATGTTCAGTCTGTTATGCTGACATTGTGAGGCAGTGATAAGTGGCTTTGCTCAGAACCTTGTCTTTTTTATTTTTAGTACACTGTTCATAGTTCAACTAAGCCAGCTAATGAGTTGCTGTTCCTTCGATTCCAAGCATGCTGCTGGTATTTTATTACCCGGTCTACAGAATACGAAGTGCGGCCATTATGTACATATTGTACATAGAACACACTCTTAATAGCTTTCCAGGCTTTTCACATCCTGTGGGATTTTACAGAGCTAACGACCCTTCATTCTCCTGCTTCGATCCCAGTCCCAATGTTATGGATTAGGGTTAGAACACATGCCCTAGATGTTAAGACAGTCTTAGCACTTTAGACGCATTTGGAGGAAACAGTGTAATCATCGCTTAATGTACACACGCTTCAATGTCTGCAGTCACTCCTAGTATCATTTTTCGATAAGGGAAAAAACAAACCTGCATTCTGATTGGCCAAGAAACTTATATGAAACCTAATTTTAAGCTACAATGACCTGTGAGAAATTGCTTGATCTCTACCTAATATTGTTGAAAAGTGCCAACAATTTGGAACAATGTAAAGATGGTCATGGGGCTTGCATCCACATAACAGCTATTTTAAAACCTTGGTGTGCAAACCAATTATGCAATCAGCCTCATTAACTGACCACATGTCGTTTAAGTCTCCTTGTTGAAGCAAAGCAGAATCTGACTCGTCTACGTTGATGACAGGATAACGCTTGCCAATGAGAAAGCTATACCAGCAATACCTGCAGCAAGCTAGCTGCGCTCTTTACGAGCCATGAGGGCGGCGACCTTGCCAGAATACCTGGCGCAGAATATTTGGCATAATAGACTCCTTTCCCACTATATTTACAATGCTCACTATGTTAAGCTATTGAAACGGGACTGCATAATGAACTGTATGTTACTCAAGAAGAGTCTTGCCATGTTGCACTGTGAACAATCCCTGCCTACAAGCTGTGCTCGCTTACCCATCGACACAGCTCGAGCTGCTGATGCGACATCCGCTCTAGGCGGACTCGTCTGGGACACTTTATCCTGCACCACTTCTTATTAAATAGCATGTAGCTCACACAACCACATGCAAAGTACGCCTGCAGAACTCCTCTTCTCTGGGGAAATGGTGTCGTCCTTAGACAAGACTACCACCGCTGCCTCCCCTTTTTTCAAGCTCATATGATGTTTTGTTTTACTGCAAACGTGTTTTACGAAAGAACTGCAAAAATAAAGGAAAGATCTAGTCTGAGGTGTATTGTGCGTTTTACTCGCCATAAAGGTAACGGCAGGGAGGTGAAGCTGTTCAAAATAACGGTGTACATATTACAGAGCACTACGAGTCAGGGTAGTTCAAAAGGTTGTAAAAAGGGTGCACATAAAAAAAATCAGTTTCGTGCAGTGTGCAGCACCACTTGTCAGCCGTGATGAACACTTCCTCAATGCATGCTTTTGAATGGCAGTCAATTAGATGTCAACCAATTCTGCAGATGCAAGTTTCGGGGACTAATGTGGTGGCACAGTTAATGAGAGAGCAGAGGGTAACCACTTGACCCATGACTCCTGGAACTGCACTGCCTTGAGTGCTATCAGTAGGCCCACCTCTCTAATTCCTTCTCTAACGTGACAGAGACAAAAATAAAGCCGAATAGCCTGGCCATAGAGAAGGAGTTCAGGATTGGAAACCATACATTGGATTATTTACAGGGATATGTATGCCTTGAACAACTACTAAGAGGAGAGCCTAGTCGCATAAAAGAAATGCACCGAAGAATAAACGGTCCGGAATGCATTCGGCGGGCTTTCCCAAATAATGTCGGGAAATGCGCCCCTATAGTCAAAGGTACATTAAAGTCAAATAACAATTTACATCAAGGGTTAAAGCTCAATGTATGATATTTACAACGACAATATTATCAACAGCAGTGCCCTACTTGCAGAGGAATCGAGGTAAATGCATCTAGAACACATGCATTACGCATAGGACATTCGCAAAATGATCCTGATGACGTGAGAGGTACCACCTCACTAGTAATCGAACTAGCTGCACTAAATATAGAACCTTCTGTGCATCAAGAGAGGCAATAAAATGCTGCTTGTTTGTTTCTTTTTGATTCACGACAAAAAAAAAGAAAAATGCTGGACATAACTATGGGGAATGGCGTGAGTGGTTCAAAAGTTCAACTGGAGAGGTTGTGCCATCTAGCGAGGCCGAGTTGAACCAAGCATGTTTGCCATCTCTAAGGCCATTGCAGGAAAATATTCAATGGCCGTTGTTGCTGCTGTGGCTCCCACTACTTTCGTTCTGCTGCTACTAGTGTCGACGGCTGCGCAGTAAAGCCAGGCAACGCACGCGGCAACAGTGACGCGAGATGTTCCGCTTGAGGCGGATAACCTGAAGTGCACTAAGCCGATGCGGACCGCTTAAACGTAACTTTATTTCGAAATGAGCACTTTCTTGGTGCAAAAATAATACTACGAGGTTTCTGGACCGCTGTTTCAGCAAAATCGGCTTAATAGTAGCTTTGAGTGTCCCTTTGAGGAGAAAAGTACACCACAGCACACTGCCTGTTTTAACATATGGGGCTGAGACCATAGAGTTGCTCGCGTATTTTAGAAACTGTATGGCTGAGACATGGAGGATAACAAAGCAACTAGAGAGAGAAATCTGGGGACTGCACAGTGTGCTATTGAATTGGAAAAAAGAAGCCAGGATTGCACAGAATGCGCAACCCAGTCACTACGAAAGCCGAAAAAGAGTGACCTTTCAAGCACCCACAACTCTGTTACTCTGTATGTTGTGGAGAACCTGCAACTGTAAGCCTTTTTGTGCACTTTGTTGATGCATTGGCTGATGATGATGAATTATGGCTGAGCCATTTGTAATGGGTTGGAAGCTTTGAAGTAACACAGTTCACATAGTGTGACGCCTGGCTGTTATTTTAGACTATTACACATGTTTACGCGATTTTTTTCCTAGCATGAAGCCTGTATAAGGTCTACGCAATGGAGTTTCAGGGACCAACACTAAATGTGTTTCGTTTATGAAATGCTTTATATATAAAGCATTTCATTAGAAACATGAATAGGCAGTTTTTTTATATTTAGCGACTCTTCCACCACCATCTCTAATCTCAGTCATGAGTCAAGCAAGTGCCCCCTCCCACCGTAGGCATTTTGCGGTCGATTGCCATGCGAAGAGCTTAGGTTCAAGTCCAATTCTGCTAGCTTTTTTTAGACACAACAGTGTTAAAGGGTTCGTGTCGGCGTTGTTGGTTATGGTCGAAAAATCATCTTGTCAGTGACCGAATAATCAAAGAAGATGCAAATAAAATAAATCAAACGCTTACAGGTCCGAGTGAGGATCGAACTCTGGCCAAAATTTGCATAGCAAGCTGGTGTTCTATGACATAGCCCTGCATCTGCTTGGAAGTACAGAGAAAGCTTTCATGCTTTACAAACACACACGTCCTGTATTGCGTGGAACAATCCTTCACTGCCATCGGGCATCATCAGACATGTGATTGTCATAATGACCCTTTACAAAAGGCACACATGTTACTGCATGTATTCTCTTAAAGCCACAGAGTAGGTGCATAGCAAGTTCGAAAACATTTTCCTGGGCATAATTGCTCAAGGTTTGAAGCATGCCACCTATTACACAGAATGCAGCCATACGCAAAAGGTTCAGTGACACAAGCCACTTTCTACTCTATCAATACATAGTAATAATCCAAAATTTAAACTTTTCGAGTAATGTCACAGATTAAAAAGATGCACGAAGTGGTTAAATTATGCACTAGGGACAGGATATCGCAATCACGTAGAACTCTTCCAAGCAAAATTTAATGGTCCCCCAATTTTTAAAAATCTTATGATTTCGCACGATAGTGGTCACAGGCACTTGTGGCAGTAGTGGACAATTACGGCACCAAGAACGGCTGTTGTAGTGATCTCGTAACAGCTGTCACTGCAAAGTGATCGGGCTAACATTAAGACATCAAAGGACGGCAGAATGAGTCCGAAAGTAAGAAATGAACCTGACCTGGGCTGACCCGTAATGTGTAGAAGAGACATCCGGTGCACAGTAAGAGCAATTACAGACTGCTTACCAAGGGATGGGAAATGCAGTCGGGGAAGACGGGGAGTTTGATCGAGTGATAGGAGTTAAGAGGTTCGCAGGGATAAAGTAGAATCGAATAGCACAGTATAGGGTAAACTGAAGATCATTGGGAGGACCTTCGTGCTGCTTAGAATAACAAGAGAGTAGAGATAGTTGATATTCGTATAATAATAGATGGCATGCAAATGCACACACAAGAGACAAATGAAGATCACAAATGCTGTTCATCTTGCAGAGGACTAGAACAGACCGCAAATGGATGGACGGTCCGGTAAGAGATGCGGAAATTTTCAAGATGTCTTGCATTTCAGACTTTACTATATTGAGTCAAGTTGCATCTGGTCTGTATCAGCCACCAGAGCTCCAAGCTTCCAAGAAAAGCCAACAAACTGAGTGGTTCACGGCGGTTAACGCTAGCTATGAGCAAGTCCGCCAGGAGATCTACCAGTTTGCGTGGCACGACTGAGGCACTTTTAGAAGTTAACGGAAGCAAAACATGTGGCAACGTGCGATTTCTAGGCATGGCATGTGTGAAAACAAAGCTACAGCCAATTAGCGAGCTACTATTCAAAATTTGCAGCATGTTACAGTGATGGCACTAAACAATGGATATTCTTGCCATGTGCGTGAGTTAACGAGCATTTACCGTACCCAACGGACATCCATCCACCTTAAGATTCTGAGCAATGTTTGTAGCAAGAAAGTTTATCTTTTGGGGCAGATTCCAGAAGTCAGAAATGGAGTCATAATTCTTGGAGCAGCAACATTATGCAAGTAATGTTTTTGGCACATATTAGTGCAAGAACAGAAAATGCTGCTACAATGTAAACAAGGATGCAAGACCAATAGTCACACAGCAGGAATTCTTCGCACAGAACGTCACATGCCGGCTTCACTGCAGTGTGCTACGTGTGTATTGTGGGGCAATATCAACAAGACGAGCATGACACATAGGCTTCTGCGAGTGACAGGTGTTAAACACCACCCGAAACAGAAAAATTGACCTAACCAGAAAATTAGCAACATATTCATCGAAAGGAAGATCAAAAATTGATTGATTGATATGTGGGCTTTAACGTCCCAAAACCACCATATGATTATGAAATGCCGTAGTGGAGGGCTCCGGAAATTTCAACTACCTAGGGTTCTTTAACGTGCACCCAAATCTGAGCACACGGGCCTACATTTCCGCCTCCATCGGAAATGCAGCCGCCGCAGTTGGGATTCGATCCCGCGACCTGTGGATCAGCAGCCGAGTACCTAAGCCACTAGACCACCGCGGCCGTGTAAGGAAGGACAAAAAATAAGGCCAGCTAGCAGAGTACATTCCATCATCCGCAACTACTTAACATGGCTGATGCCCCATCATGCTCAATAACTGTAAACGTTGGGGCACACAAATAATTGCAGAACATGTGCATCAAGCATGGGAGAGAGAACGCATAAATAATAAACGTTGAAAAAAGAGATTGCAGAATCTATTGGAAAGCTTCACAGTGCATTATATTACTGTAAAGTATACTTGAGATGGACAGAGGCGAGTTTTATAGTGACTGCAGTGAGGGATGTATGAATGGAAGCGCACTCGGAGCTGCCACTGTCTGCAAAGTGCACTACCACATGTTGCAAGTCGATATCGAATAACGACTTCTCTGGAGTCTTTCCTTGCCAAGTGATATTGGCTGTTTGCACGGCTTTCTGCAATGAATGTGCGCCAAAGTCGTGTGGCTTGTGGATTATAGTGTGACAACAACCTCGTAACTAATGTCCTGCTAGTGCCAAGAGCGATGCATGCTGTAAAGCAAGTAACAATGCCTTCAATCTGCATGAATGGCTACAGCGCACACACTTGTTAGACACAGGTTACATGGGTGTTCATGCTTAAAATTGCTACTGGCACATCGGAGAACACTGCAGAGCAACTGAAGGAGTGACACGAAACATGTTCGTGTGGGTGGATTATCAAGTGAAAGTGCAGCACATTTAAAATTTGCATAAATATGCAATCTACGCCACACTGCGTTTGCAGCAGCAGATGTAGAGACAGCAAGTGCTACATTACGATCACAGTGATTACGATGCATCACGTGATTTAAAAAATGAAAAAAAAATATTAGCTACTCTTTGCATTAC